TGGAAACGGGATGGAAAATGGTCACGGGTGGTGAAGCGGAAGAGAAACAAATGCATGGCTGGAGGGGCAGCAATCTCAAAACCAGCTCTGGTGTTGGCAGGAACAGTAACATGGACAACAGAATACAATGGATTTTTTTACTGCATCTATTTCATACTTATTCACATGCTAGATGTGATCACAGATGACAGACCAGAAGGGTCCATTATTTGTATGGTGTAATAAATATTTATATGAGGGACTGTGAAGGCTCTGGTTCAAGTCATATATACATCTGTATTAAGAGGAGGAAATCAAAACAAATGGGGTTGGATCACCTTCTGTCACTGCATTAAAATGAAAAACGCCAGGGAATGAGCACCTAAAACACAGGCTCCTTTGCCGAACTCATTCCTCTGCTCTTTCGTTATCAGATCCAATGAGTCAGAGAGCACACTGACCATCTGAGTTTCCTCAGGGCTTTGTAGACACATCCATTTTCCCCCTGCAGAGGCACAGGGGAGAACTTGTATGTTAAGTGACATTTCACTTCTCAGCATGACCCAGAGCTAGGCTTTGGAGCCAGAGTTCCCACGATCTTACGCCGACTCCAAAATCAAGCCCAGATTCCTTCTATCCAGGGTGAGGAGTTAAATTGCTGTGGGCCCTTTGTATACGTGATGGAGAGACAGGGTCCTTGAGAAGGAGACCTGGATCCTGATGTTAGAGGTCAGCTGAACATTGTGCATCTCATTCTTTGGGGTTTAGGGGTGTAGCTACCGTAAAAATGTATATGTGAACGAACCTGTCAGGTGCCCTGAATATAACTCAGTGATATCAAGAGTGATATCAAGGATATCACTCCACTAAATGATAAAAAGGGTAATCATTTTACATCCAATTTCTTCCTCCTCGGTCTCCTAATTAGATCATTACCTTGCACTCAGACACAAGTAGGAAAAGGCCATTTTTTAAATTGGCTTCTCTTGGTATAAACAAATCACTCAGAGATGCAAGCAGAGGCAGCTGTAAACAGCATGATGAAGGGGCAAAGAGCTCACAGGGCTGAGGGATATTAATGGTTTGTTGCTTGCGAATAACCCTTTCCCCAGAGACCTCCCTATGCTCTGTGTACTCTCTGCACATGCTGGCAACAAAGTGGAGGCTTTTTTAAGAGAGTTACAAATAAGGTCAAATTCCTTTAGGAGCTTTTCAGAGTTCCCAAGGCATTCAAGGAAGGGTCCAGCTGTTTGCAGGGGTTTCCCATTACAGCCAGAGACACAAGTTTCAGCATGCTTCCAGTTAAAAGAAGATCCTGGCAGATTTTCTGTGTAACATGACAGGGATAGGATGGACTTCTTCACAGATGCTAAGCACATTCATATAGACATTAGACGGAGAGAGAGCATGCATCTGGCACGGGACGGTGTGTGAAGTCTGACTTGAGGATCTTACATCACCCCAAAGCAGCACAACAATGGCTGGGTTATACAGGAGTTAAAGGGCTGCAACATCACGATACCTCAGATCCCTCCACTTAAGCATTTAATGTACCTCCTGTCTTGGCAGAATCTAAGAACCTCACCATTAGTGGACTTCAGCTCCTCAACGTTCCTGCAGGAGTACAAGGTCTTGTTTTTCAAGGCAGAACCAACACAAATTAAATTATTTTTTCCTTTACCTTATGGCAGAGTCAGAAATATATACAATGCACTATTAGGCCACCCCTCCTCCCCATCTAGGACTTCAGTTCTTCAAAAACCTCATCTGTAGAAGTTGTACATTTCTAATTTCAACCAAAACATGCATTTTGTTCACAGAAAAAATGGAATAACATTTTCTGAACTGTTTTTCATTAGGAAAGGAAGAAAAGATACCCTTTCCCACTTTTGGGGCAAGTATGAGTTCTGCACTCATCAAGTAACTAATGCTGCCTGGATAAAAATAATCACTGAAATCTTGTCCAGGACCTACTTCCCAGGAAAAGGCCCTTTGCCAAGGCTCAGACTCAACACAGATCATCAGTCCCATGAAATTCAAACAATAAATCTTCCATGTGCAGAACATAGCTGGGTTCTGCCTTACGGGAACTGGATGCTGCTGCGAAGTTCGAGTCACACAGTCGTGCCTGTAACATCAGTTCACTGAGAATGTCTGGGATCAAACGCTGCCACGGAGCAGCCCTCCATGTCGCACGGCTGTGGAAACGTGCAGGGAATGTTCTCTAGCTAGAGAAAGCTTTGATTGATAAGCCGGGATGTTTTCACCTGCTCCTGCAGGAACAGCATTGCCTGCCGGGTTGGGCTGGCCCGTGGCAGGAGTACAGTTTCTGGAGCAGGATGGGGGACCCTGCACACCGCTCCCACAATTGCCGGAGGCAGCTGGGAGCACAACCCCCTCACTGCAGTGCTGTAAATGTAGGCAGGAGTATTATTTCTTGCAGCGTGCCGTGGGGAATCACGGTGCAAACATGCTTTTCTCTGATTTGGCTTGCAAATGGATCCTACACCGGTTTCTCCTGTGGGGTCAGGAGAGGAGAGATAACCACAGCCACAGCTCACCTGCCCACTCCTGCATCACCAGTGCTCCACCCCACTGGGTCAGCTCACACAAAGAGAAGAAGGGAAGGTCTCAATAAGCAGATACTGCCTGTAGCATTGGCAGCGTCATGCTGAGGGGACCAGCAAGCTCTTGCTGAAAACACTAGCAGACCTGGAGAAGCACTCTCAAATATAGCTGGGATTTGAGGGATGGAGCATGGTGAGTTGAAAGGCCACCTGTTAACTCACTTTTTTTTTTAGTTAAGCTCATACACACACACCCTCCCCTCTGAGGAATTCAGCATACAGGGGAACATCAGCATCAATAGCTATACTATCCATCTTTCACCCTACACAGACAGTGCACAAATGCCTGGGAAAACCTGCAGAAGGCACCGTTCCATGCTGAATGCCTCACCTCTTATCCCCAGTCCTGCGGGGCATGCAGCCAGCCACTGTCCCAGAGGTGCTTCCCACCCTCCCTTTGCTGCTATGCAGGCAGGACAAACCTACCCCCCAGCATCCCAGCAGCACCAGGCTGACTTACAGATACTTGAGACCCCAGCAACTCCAAATACGCAGATATTTGCTCCTGTCCAACAGCTCAGTCATTTTTAGCATCAGTTCACAGTTTAAAACCTTGCTCTGGTTTTCAGTGTAAAGCCACGTCGGCATTTCCACTGCTAGCTTGGCATTACACTGCCTTGTACTGAGCCTGCTCCTGTAAATAGTTTCATTTAAGAGCTGCCACTGGAGGAAGACCCCGCCTCATCCCAGCAGCAGCCTGTGTGCTACACACTAGGATCCAATACTTTATTTCCTTGGGCAAACATCCCAATTTGTAGAGATCATAAGGTCAGTTTGAAAACAACAGGATGTACAAGCGCTACAGAGGTATGGCACGTGCAGCCGTGCTGTCACAGCATGCTGCTTGTTCTCTTAGCTACAGCTTCGCTCTCCCAGCTCCACTGCCTCCCATCCCATTTTCTAGTGCCACATTCCCTGCTCTCGGCCCGTACAAGTTTAGGGACTTTGCATCTGGGCAAAGAGTAAAATTTTACCCTTTGTGGCTTCACATGGAGTTTTGCTTCATGCTGACATTCAAAAGCAGGTCCCCCTTGTCACTGGTACATGCCTGCTTCTGCACTCTCAGCAAGGACAAAGGAGTGGTGTGCTCAGGTATACGCTAGAAACTCATCGAGTTTCGCTGACTCGGCAAGTTCTCACCCAGCAGCTCAACCACCACACCACCAGTGTGCACACGCTTAGCCCATCCCAAACACCACATGAAAGGGGCCTAGGCTAACCTGTTACACATATCTGGTTTGGCTTCTGCACACTGGCAACTGGGGGACACCAGGAGCACATGCAGGGACAGAGGTCACCTCAGGAGACAGGAGGTAACTTGTTAAAGGATGGTGACTCTCCTGCCGTGTGTCTGAACCATGGGACTGTGTAGGAGACCCTGCACCACTCAGCTGTGCTGCAAGTGCTCGGATTTTCACAGCTACAGCACTCACCATGCTGCACAAATAACCTGACTGGCCTGATTCCACCTGTGGTTTCCTATTGACACCCATCATCTGCATGTCCTATCGTATTTCCAAGCAGGCACTTCACATGCTTCTATTTGAACAGCATTTAACTCCTTAAGGGCACGGGATCAGCAGCTGTGAAACCAAAGATCCACAGATACAGCTGAGCAGATACCAGCACAGGCAATAGCAGCAGCTCAAGCTTCCCTGTACAGCTCTCCTGAAGCCTTTCCCCCTTTGGGGAACCAGTTAATTCCCCTCTCACCTCTGCAGAGAAGGATGATGAGGAATGCCAGCCACAGGAGTTTGCACTGTGGACATTTGCTCTCTCTGCCACAGCCTAAAATACTCAAACTCATTTTACGTTGGCTCAAGAACAGACAGTTCTAATGAATGCTTTTAAATGTATTGATCTTTAACACATGAATGTAAGAGACTGATGGCCTGAGAGTAAAGAAGCTATTTGTAGGTACTGTAAGTCAAGTGCAACATGATGCAGCTTAACAACTTGCTTTTTGAATTTTCACCCCTTGCTTTAATTCCAGTAAAAGTTTAAATGCAGTATCAAGACTGGACTTGGCCATGGATGGTCCATAACATTTGCCAAAAAAATGCTGTTCCATACTATAGATAGAGGCTCAGTGTATGGACCATCAGGAGGACAGAAATTGAACAAGAAATTCATGAAGTCCCTTCAAGTATATAATCTGAAGATTCTGTTAAGTCGTGGTAACTTGGCTAGGGCATCTAGCTGAGCCTCAGTTTGGTGTTCGGAAGCTCACCGCTGATTGACAAAGTGCCATGTATCAGGAGCACCACCGTGGAAGGCTGCATGAGCCAGTGCTCCTTTTCCTAATGAGGACCTGCGCCAGCTCTACCGTGATGACAGCAAATGAAATGACTCTGCCCAGCGCAGTCCGTTCTGTCAACCCATTCCCCCGCTTACCAATCATGGGCATCCCTAGGTTTTGGTATGGGCACTCCAGGCTGCCTCCTTGGGTCCTTCCAAAGATAGCAGAGTAAATGGCTATCACCATGCTCTTCTTACAGCTTAGCCTCAGCTTGTCATCTTCACAGGCTACTTTACTCGTGTATTCATCTGGAAGGAAACAAACACTTAATTACTCAGCTGATCCAGAGGCGGGCACGCAGCACGGAGGGATCCCTCTCACCTCGCCATGTGAGAGGCTGTCAGAGGCAGTGGCGATTCTGGGCATACGCCCAGAGGTGCACATCAGCTGCCAGCACAACCCCAGCCTTACAACTGCATTTTCTAGGGTAGCACTGATGATTTGCATTATGCATTCTCTCTCTGGCATTATCAGCACATTTCATGGACATATTTTAATCTAGCACGTGTCAGTTTTGGTAAATAGCCAGTAATTTCATTTTGCAGACAAGTGAGACCTGGCAATTGAGTGATTCTCACATAGTGATATTAGAAGCCAGTGGCAGAGGAAGGTAAAAGCCTGTCTTTAGGCACCTCTCTCATCCACAGATCAGTCCTTTATGTGCCAATGATTTATTCTACATCACAGCAGCTCAAATGCAAACATAATTACGCTCTATAGCTTTTTTTCACAGCAGCTGTCCCTTGGCAGATTCAATAGGAGCTATACTACATTTGTTAATGATGGAAGCTGCTCTTCCCTGTTGCAAATACAGACATGTCAAGCTGCTCCCCAAATCCTTCTTGAAATGGTCAGCCAAGGAATGCAAAATGCTTTTGTAAGGCTGGTGCATACAGAACAGTCACTCAGTTTACGTCTGTCAAGGAGACTGAGCAATGATTTCATAAGAAATCACACGTCATTCCCTTCTCTTTACTATTATTATTTGTATTATGGGAACCCCTAGAGGTCCCAGCCTAGAACGGGCTCTCCCCATGGGTGTCTGCCAACACAACACAGAAGACGCTGTTTTGAAGAGCTGAGTCTTTACAGCTAGACATCTACCACTGTGAAAGAAAGAGACTAAGAAACATGAAATGGCATGTCTACAGTCACCCCAGCCAACCCAGGGTGCAGCCAGGAATATAACCTCAACCTCCCCAGCCTCTGCAGAGGGACCTTCCACTTGATTATGTTATTTACCGTTAGAAATTAGATGCTGCCATAACAGCATCCAAATTCTTCATGGGAAGGGTCCCTGACCCATGGTAACCTCCCAGGCACTATCAATCACTCAATCTGAAATGCTCCTTGCTATACCAGGTCCAAGTTATGCCGTAGAGCACACTAACGACCAAACAGTGGAGATAACCACCAGACAGTGCCAGGGGCTGCCCCTGGCCCTGTATCATTTACTAGCATAGACATGACTTTTGTCTCTCCCGGTCACTGGTTCCCTATACCTAATATCACACACACACATGTATGAGAACTTGTGCAAAGTCCATGTGCATCAAACTACTCAGTAACTGAGAACACTAGCTAATAACTACTTTATAGTTTAATACTTAAGTCTTCACATCATGGCAGCTAGCACTTAATGAGACATTTGTGACTGTATTGTAACTATAGGTTCAGGAATCATTCTTCCTTATTGGAGGTGGAGAGGAATTTTCCACCAAAGTTGAATCATAGAGGTATTTATGCTGGAAGACTCCTCAAGAGGACATCTGGTCTAACACGTGCTCAAAGCAGAACAAATTCTGCATTGGATTAGATTTTTACAAAGAAACTGCATGGAGAAAATACGTATTATACTAAAACAGGCACACGCTGATTTAAAAGAAACATCTGAGAACAAAAAGCTCCTCGTGCTCAACTTGGAAATTCTTATTCAAAGCCAAAAAATAGTCTCTCAAAATAGCCTATTACCTGGTGATCAGAGCATCCACCTGGAGTGTGAAAATTCTGGTCCAAATCCTCACAGTCCAGGTGAGAATTTGAACCCTAGACACTACTCCAATATATAGTCTTCCCTCTCACTCTGCAGTCTTTTCACAAAAGGCTCTGAAAGATCCTACTTTTTATCCCACTGCAGGGAAGCTTTTAAACCTCTAAAATATTTATTGAAAGGGAAAATACTTTCTCATCCACCCCTGTAGATGAAGACAGAATTAAGACCTAATTCATTCATGGATGAATCTGTGTGATGAACACATACCCTTCAGCAGTACCTGTAGGGATAAACCCATGACCAGCGAGCTGAGTGGGTAAACAGTGACAGGAATCAGGAATAGCAGCTCTTCTCAACATCAAAGTAAGTAGAGAGGAAGCAACCTCATAGAGCTGTGAACAATCAATCATCATTTTATCTCTGTAGGTATTTCATCTGCAACCACATGAAGGCATCACAATGATACAGTGAACTAGGCTCTTCTCAGTGGTGTCCAGTGACAGGACTAGGGGCAATGGCCATAAACTGGAACACAGAAGGTTCAACCTGACCATGAGGAAACCCTTCGTCACTGTGAGGTTGACAGAGCACTGGAACAGGCTGCCCAGAGAGGTGGTGGAGTCTCCTTCCCTGGAGAGACTTTCCAAAGCTGCCTGGACTTGTTCCTGTGCGATCTACTCTTGGTGATCCTGCTCTGGCAGGGGGTTGGACTAGAGGATCTCTAGAGGTCCCTTCCAACCCCTACCGCTCTGTGAATCCTCTTCACCCGTAATTGTTTCCCATAGGATTTTTGTTTCTTCTTTGAGGGAAGTGGGACCAAAGCTTTAACCTGGCTACACACAGTGTAAAACTTAGCAGAGTATAATAGAACTTTATAGACTTAATAGAATTCTTTCTCCTTAGGAAAAGAAAACCATGGATTCAAACTAAAAGCACAAAGGCACAAACCTCTGCAATGGGACAAGCTATACATAATTAATATTCAACCAATTTCATAGAAAGGGAAAATACTTGTGACTGGCTAGAGTGGTTGAAATATGAAATAGTTGATTAACTTTAGTAAAAGATCAATTTTAAAGTCTCTAATGAGCGAGTGCCAGGGTTCTCTGTGAAGGTCTTATTTCTTACAAAGCACTAACTCAATTTCCTCTTCTGATTTGGTTATTATTAGCTACATCTCCCAATTAACAAGTATAACTGATTACTTAACCACATGTCCTGTGGACCCATCTAAGGTCCTTAGAATATTTATTAAATTCTGTTGACCATTCAAAGTTAGGGCTTGCCATTTGGAAACATGATGGTATTTAAACACAGTGAGTATTGCGTGTAGCCTAGAAGACAGCGGGATGCACAGACATCTCTGCTGAAAGTCAAGAGACAGGCAACAATAAAACTCTGCCTCCCGCATTTGCAGTTCTTACCCTTTTAGTCACTGTGGGAAGTCATGTTCAGGACTTATGGGGGAAGCTGGCTGACGGACGGCTCGAGATATTAGACCAGGGAGGTGAATCTACCTGAAAGGAGGTTGTAGGGAGGTGGGTGCTGGTCTGCTATCCCAGGTAATTGGTGATAGAACAAGAGGATATGGCCTCAAGTTGCAGCAGGGGAGGTTTAGATTGGATATTAGGAAAAACTTCTTCACTGAAAGCGTGGTCAGGCATTGGAATGGGCTGCCCAGGGAAGTGGTGGAGTCACCATCCCTGGAGGTGTTCAAGGAGCGTGTAAAGATGGTGCTTGAGGACATGGTCTAGTGGTCATGGTAATGTTGGGTTGATGGTTGGACTGGATGATCTTATAGGTCTCTCCCAACCTTAGTGATTCTGTGATTTTGTGAATCTGAGTGCACGCCCCTTGGGAACCAGTGCCGTTTATGTGTGATGTGCAGCTGGCACCCTGCTGTGCGGAGTAAGAGGGCTGTGCCACCTTAAACAGATACCAGCTCACAGCCACTAAGTTCTGCCCTGGGAAACACCTACTGGAGCTACCAGTTCCCGGAGGTCTGGCTGAGTCCAAACCGGTTAGGGCTGCAGTCCCTTGGCTGGCACAGGCAGAAGACACTGCTTTCTTAAAAGGAAGGGGAAAATAAAAAAAAAAAAAGGAGGAAAAAGAAAGGATGAAATACACAGTAGTATTTCCGACTCCCAAAAGGTTCCTTTAAAGCTTGATCACTGGACAACAGATACTCTCAGTGTTTCTGTGCAAGCTGACAGAAATCTGGATAAACAAACTGCAAGTGATGTTACAGAGGACACAAGTCCCTGAAAGTATTTTCTGCTTCACAGCATTGCCACCTCCATCTTAGCCAGGATGAACCCAAGCCAGGTGTCTTTCATCCAGACACGGATGGCTCCCAGGCATCGGACGATGGTAAGGACAGTGACTACTATAAAAAAAATACAGAGCTAAGCATCATCCATACGTTTACTTGTACTTCAACCCACAACAGCCTTATATAAATACTGAAAAGAACTGAGGCAGCATAAGTGACATGAGAGCTGGGACTGGGAGCGAATCCGCATTTTTTCTTTCTCACTCTCCCAAGAAGAACTGGCCTCCTACTGATCAGTCACAATCCAGTCCTAAGCCCGCTATAACTGTTACAGTCTGGATATAATTCAGTCCAAATGCAAACATTTGTATTAGTGGGTTTCATGTTTCACCCTGAAAAATTAAACATGCTTAAATGGCCTAGGAAAGGTGGCAGTGATATTCAGCAAATGGCTTGCTCAACTCTAATCCCCCATGCAGTCATTTGTAGGGCAACAGAGATTTACCATGATTAAGATATTTGCTAAGGATAATATCCCTTTTATTACTGCCTGTTTTCAGAGACACTGGTTTAAACATAACTCAGTAGAGACAAACCAAGGAGGGAACAGCTGCAGGCTTTTCTAGACACGTTTTTAAAGGCCATTATATGACATGATTATAACATTGCTAGAGCAATTAAAAGAAAACAATTATAAATGTTTCTAGTGGGAAAAATGGCGCTCTCAAACATTAAAGTGAACAAGACAACCCTTTGTAATTACAGGATGTGTACAAGAATATTAAAGTATTGACCTGTAATATTGATATCCATTTACCCAGTGTCTTAAGAACATTTTCACCAATGGTTCACAACAATATTCTGAATGATCATGATTAGGAAGCTCAAAACTAAATGTCAATTGGCTCAATTTCTGCAAGACCTTAGCGATAAAAGCTCCTAAAAAGTTTTTGTGTCTAACAAAGTGATGGGATGCATTAACG